ACTCTGTAGAAATGCAACTCAAGGGGTGTAATCAACAAGAAAAATTCGATGCCAACGCTGCAGAAGACCGCATCGGCGGATCCGGGCCTCCTTCGAACCGAGGCTGTCCTGCAGAGCGGAGGCAGCTGGAAAAGCATGCCACCCAGAACGAAGACGCGAGTCCTGCTCTGCCCCGCGCTGGGGCTCTTCAAACTTCTCCGCAAGCAATGCCTGTCCGGCTCGCGTCGCGAAGCCACGCCTCCCTGCCCTACCGTGCCCGGCCTATACACAGCATGTTGACCCACAGAAGTCACAGAAAGTATAAATCAAGACCATCAAGAATCAAGACCCATACAGAAAGGAAACGTCGATGATCTGATCTGCAACAAACTGCAGAAGACCGCATCGGATCCGGGCCTCCTTGCCCTTGTCGTCGTCGCTGGCCTTCAGGGGCAGTGCCGATCCGATGCAAGGAGTTCAATCAAGAAGTGCTAGATTAGAGTCTCGAACAACACTCGACCAGCTCCGTGCCGAAGGTGCCTTGTGCCCCAAGTCCGACAGAGAAGTTACTCGAACCGTGGGGCGGATGCAAACGTGCCCGCGAAAGTAATCCCTTCGTCATGAGTGGCTACCTGCTACCTGTCTCCAACATGAGCGACCACCCCCTCAGCGAGGCTCGGGGAGTACGGCGGCCGGATGCTCAAGGAAACCTCTCCCGTTCACCTGCGAACTCACCTCGTGAGACAAGCTGTTCAACGTTGCTGTGGTGCGCCCGACTCAACTGAGACAGACCGCGCATGGTGAGAGCCTGGGGTCCTGGGGGTGTCAAGTTGCTGCTGGCAAGTCCTGCACAAAGTCGCAGACAGCTACAGTTCTGTATGGCATTTCGTCGTTCAGCATTTGACCAGGATCCTGTGCCCGAGGCCTCCACAGGAATCCATTTCGAATATTTTCGATCAAGGTAGCGCCATCGATCGCAATGTGTTCGCTGGGGCCATGGTTTCCGAAACTCGACAGGGTCTCTCTCGAAACCAAGTTCCGGTCATCAAAGCCGAAGGCTGGACGCTTTTTTCGCAAGCATTTCGTCTGGATTTACAACGTCATGCCTCTGCTGCTCTTCTCATCGGCCTGCTGCCTCACTCTGTTATCTCAGTTTGCACTTTTTGTGGATGCCGGCCTACTTGTAACTCGCGACTGATCTGTCTTTCTGTTGCCTCATGTTGCCTCAATGTGCTGGGTCCTACCCAAGATGATTCAAGCGAGCTTTGAACTTTTCCAAACCTGGCCTTGGGCCGACGATTCGTCAACAGGTCCGGGAGGTTCGCGTTTCCTGATCAAGGGCGAGATGCGTGAAGAAAGCCACCTCGACTTGACCCTGCCTGGCACGGCTGTCGCGCGACGCTGCCGCGCCTGGTGGTCGGGGCCCTGCCGTGGCGGGAGATTCGGCAAGAGCGATCTGACATGACAGATTTTGTAGATGGATGTAGATGGCATGCCGCGTTCTACGAGCATGCGGCGGCATCAGGAAACTGCCAGTCCTTCTCGCGCTCCCCACAACAAATGCCGCACCTCAGCAACTAGCATCCAGTGCAATATCCTGTAAACACCCGCTGCTGCGCACAAATCAGATCCCCTTATCTGAACTCGTCAAGCGGCTGCGCTGCGCCCATGCTCTACAAGGCAGCGAAGGATCCCAAGCAGTACAATGAGGGATAGTCCAAGGCTCTGGAAGTTCTGCAAGAACCGCTTTGACAAGCTAGATGGTGACTCAACAAACTTCGCTCGTGGTGGCCATGTCAACAACCAGCCCGCGCGTGGCGAGGTCTGCAAAGACTCTGCAAACTGAAATGCAGTAAGAGCAAGCGAGGCAACGGCATCCACATGCTCGGCACATCTCGGCACCCAAACACGCCAAGATGTACCACATGACAAGTCGCAGCATGTGTGGGCCGTAGGCTGGCCATGCGTGTCCTGGCTGGTGCAGACAGTCCCTGCTGCGATCAGTCAGCACAAAGGTTACCAGGTTGCACCTGGCATTGTAACCCCTCCGACGATCAAAACATTTCAAAAGCTACAGCACAGGAAGCTGTACGAATGCGCTTGTGCATGATGCGCTAAAATGCGGGGGCTCAACCGGAAACAGCTTGCGCGCTCGAGAAGAGAGCTGGATCTTTTTGTTTAAGCCGGTTCGCGGAAAACGACAGCAGTGCATCTTAAGCCTGCGCCCCACAGACCCGGGCGGAAGGCATGCGTGTCACCCGTCACCGTCATCAACATGCACTGTTATCGTTTCTGCGAACCGGCTGTAAAAACTTTGCAGCCGGTTCGCAGAAAACGACAACAGTGCATCATGATGAGATGACACGCATGATCACGCATGCCTTCCGCCCGGGTCTGTGGGGCGGAGGCTCAGTCTTCGAAGAAGACATCATCGTCTCCCTCAAAGTCGGGGTAGACCTGCGGCTCAGAGCGAGAGCATCATCACTCCCAGTGTGGGCTCGGGATCCCGGCGCTGTCGGCGCTGGAGCCCGGACTGTCCTTGTCAGCATCACGCTGCAGCCGGTGATCTTCACAGATTCCGTATTCGTGCAAGGGGCTTCGCCGGAAGGACATCCACGGCCACGGTTCCCAGCTCCGTCTGGACTCTGGCGCTAACAGTTTCTCAGCTGTCTGTGCTCTGCTTGCGGAAAGTCATAATCCTAGCTGGAACACATCCCCTGATCGATTAAAACATGGCCCACTGCCACGACGAAAATAGCCATCTCTTCCAGGTTAGAAGGACAACCTGCCTAGTAGGCTGGAAAATCTTCGGAGTTCAACTGATTCTTCGGCATCAGGCGAACCGACAAGCTCGCTCCAAGGTAGCCGGAGTGCACGCACAAGAAGTGTTAGATGAAGTGTTCAACGAAGGGAGGCGCACCGAAGTGAACTGAATGGTTGCGCCGTTTGTTGTTCAATTGAAGATCCGGTGGCTTCAGACCATTTGTCAAGGTGTCCCGTAGGAGACCTTGGCCTCAGGTTGTCGACCACACGGAACTATTTTTGAACCCCCCACGGCCATTTCGGATGCTTGGGGCTCGGCTGGAGAGTATCTGCAATCACACGGCGTGCAGCAATCTGCATACTCTGGAGTATATGAACTTTTGCAGGTCGTCCACCAGACCATCCGAAAGGAGTACGAAAAATGCAGCTACTCCCCAGCCGAGCCGCTGGAGAGTAGCCTTTCGCACCGTCAGGTTGACGACCTACAAAAGTTCATCGGAGCACATTTGGCGACCTTCGCAACCTCTATGGCTGTGCATCTGCAATAGTTGCAATGCATCAACAATGCGCCATGACTCAAGTGAACATCGTCGGAAGCTTTAGGCTGCAGTGCCGGCCCTATGTATGAGGCAAAGCGCCCCCTTCCGGAAGACAGGCTCCCTAAAGTGCGGACACCCGGCGAGAGAACTGCCCGGCCGGCTCCTTTTTCCTCGTCATCTCCAAACGCTCGGCTTCAGCACCAATCAGAATGCTGATTGGCGCTGAAGGCCGAGCGTTTGGAGATGATGAGGAAGAAGGAGGCGGCCGGGGAGTTCTCTCGCCGGGTGTCCACACTTTACGAACATCGGCATGGCGGTCGGCTTTGCGGCTCGCTAACCTTTGAATCCTTCAAATGGGTTTATTCTGAGTCTTCAAATGCAACGAACACTGAGACTGTTGGCGTGCTCCCTTTCCTGACTCCAAGGCGTTAACGCCGAAGGATCGTTTGTCGCTGGGCGTAGTTACGTAGCACCAAGTTCATGAGGCTGGCTGACAGAGTTGCAGGTTGCTCTGCGCATGCAAACCGCTCGAGGAACAGAAAATTCTGCGGCAGTATATATATATATATATGCCTGATGCAAGCATTCAAGACAAGGATTCGCGAGACAAATTCAGCACTTGATTGCGTGTACGTCAATGACAGGCTCGTTGCACAAATCAGTCAGGGCTCATGCAGCACATCCGCGACATATGGGGGCTCAACCAAAAACAGCCTGCAGCGCTCGCGCAGAGAGCTGGATTTTTTTTTACAGCCGGTTCATCGCAGAAAACGATAACAGTGCATGTTGATGACGGTGACGGGTGACACGCATGCCTTCCACCCGGGTCTGTGGGGCGGAGGCTCAGTCTTCGAAGAAGACATCATCGTCTCCCTCAAACTCGGGGTAGACCTGCGGCTCAGAGCGAGAGCATCATCACTCCCAGTGTGGGCTCGGGATCCCGGCGCTGTCGGCGCTGGAGCCCGGACTGTCCTTGCCAGCATCACGCTGCAGCCGGTGATCTTCACAGATTCCATGTATTCGGGCAAGGGGCTTCGCCGGAAGGAACTCCACGGCCACGCTTCCCAGCTCCGTCTTGACTCTGAGGTTTGCCAAACTTGCTGCCCTGCGTGCAAAGCGGGACAACATTGGCACAACAATGCCCTGAGATTCTCCAGCTCTCACCAAACTGTTCGCATCTCTGCTCAACGTGCCTTCAAAATGGACGGCTTGGCGCATCCTCGACGGGAGGGCAACAGTTTCTCAGCTGTCTGCGCTCTGCTCGCGGAAGTCACAATCCTAGCTTGAACACATCCCCTGATCGACACAACCTGGCCCGCTGCCGCGACGATTTTGGCTTAAAGTAACACTTGTTTTTGCCGTCTTCTGCTTGGGAGCAAAGGCGGCAGCACTCTTCAGCTGCTTTCGACGCGACTAAAACAGCCATCTCTTCAAGGTTAGAAGGACAACCTGCCCAATAGGGTGCAAAATCTCGGGAGTTCAACTGCTTCTGAGGCGTCAGGCGGACCGACGAGCTCGCTCCAAGGTAGCCGACGCTCACGCACCAGAAGTGTTACGTAGATGAAGTGTTCAACGAAGCGAGGCCCACCGAAGTGAACTGAATGGTTGCCTCGTTTTTTGTCCAATTAAAGATCCGGTGGCTTCAGACCATTCGTCAAGGTGCCCCGTTTCGGCATGCTTCGGCTTCATGTCAAGCCTTCCTGG